TCCCAGCGTTTTCTCAGGTTAGCAGTTTGGGGTATAGCAGGGACACACCATATTCAGTTCCAAGCCTTGCCATTCGAACTCTCCTCCTCTCCAAGAATTTTCACCAAGGTGCTGGCCAAGGTGTTGGTTCCCATTCGGCTGAGAGGAATAGCTGTATTACCTTACTTGGATGACCTGCTCCTATTTGCAGGCTCAGAAGTCCAGCTGAGGCGGAACATTGTGGAGGTGAGGAGACATCTGGAGAGCCTGGGTTGGCTATTGAACCTGGACAAATCCTGCCTGGTTCCCTCCCCAAAAATGACCTATTTGGGGTACATTCTAGATACCACAGGACAGAAGACCTTGCTAACCTCAGAAAAACTCGCCAAGCTAGATGGAGGGATCAGGCTGTTGCTGGGGAGCCGCGGCGTAACTGTGAGGCAGGCCATGTCAGTGTTGGGACTGTTGACCTTATCCATCCTGGCAGTTCAGTGGGCAGGATTGCATCCTCGTCCCCTCCAACTTTTTATCCTAAGGGTCTGGGACAGACAGGTATGGTTCTTAGATACCAGGATTCTTGTTCCCCCCAGTGTAAAAAGATGCCAATGCGACTCAGGGACTGTTATGGAGTTTTCCGGTGGTCTGGAAGGTCACGATGGATGCCAGCGCCCAAGGTTGGGGGGCCCACCTAGGGGAGTCGATGATTCAGGGAGAATGGTCCCCAGGAGAGAAAAGGGAATCCTCAAATTGGAGGGAGTTGAGAGCGATATTGGAAGCTCTCCGTTCTTTCCAGAGCAGGATTGGGGGCCAGCATGTCCACGTCCTGACGGACAACGCGACAGTGGTAGCCTATATAAACAGGCAGGGTGGAACAAGGAGCAGGTCTCTCTGGTCCCTGGCGGCAGTGATTCTGTCTTGGGCAGAGAGAAACTTTGCCTCCTTGTCGGCCGTCCACCTAAAAGGAGAACTGAACCAGATAGCCGACTATCTGAGCAGAAGACAGCTCAGAGAGTCGGAATGGGCTCTAAATGCGGAATTGTAGCAGGCCATTATCAAGAGGTGGGGATCCCCAGACATAGACCTCTTCGCATCAGGGATAAACAACAAGGTCCCGAGCTTCTTTTCCTTAAGCCGGTGGGACGGAGCACAGGCAGTAGACACGTTGTGGCAGAGGTGGGATTACCCACTGTGCTACGCCTTCCCCCCGGTTGCCCTGCTGTCAGCAGTATTGAGAAAGTTCGGGGGGGAGAATACTTCACTCATCCTGATCGCTCCGTATTGGCCCCGGAGGGCGTGGTTTGCAACACTGAGGGCCTTAGCCACTCGGCCGCCCTGGGTGTTGCCTCCACGGAGAGATTTACTGGCACAGGGCCCGGTCCTATGTCCCAGGGTGGAGAGGCTGAAACTGACAGCCTGGTTTCTGAACAACAACTTCTGTTAGCAAAGGGGCTCTCGGCCAGACTGGTGGCTACGCTCCTGGCTAGCAGAAAAGCAGAAACCCAAGCCATTTACGGGAAGGTGTGGGGTTGCTTTAAGAAATGGTGCTTCGGGGCCTCAGTGGCACACTCAAGAGCCAGGTTTCGGCTCTCAGTGTGTTTCTGGAAGCCCCTCTAGCCAAAGAAGCACTGGTAATCAGGTTCTTTAGAGCCCTGATAAGACAGAGACCTCCTGGGAGTGGTCCGTTTCCAATGTGGGATCTGACTAAAGTACTTAGGGTATTGAAGGAGCCCCCGTTTGAGCCCTTGGGGTCCTGCTCGCTAAGGGATCTCACGCTGAAAATGAATTCTTTCTTGGATACACAGAATATAACTGGATACTAATATTTATAGGTATAGTTGATCCAGGCAATATCCGATTGCCTCTCGGGGGATCAGGAAGGAATTTTTTCCCCTGCAGGAGCAAATTGTTTCATGCTTTGCTGGGTTTTTTGCCTTCCTCTGGATCAACTCTGGGTGTAGGATTATAACTTTTTTTTTTTAATGGTTGAACTAGATGGACTTTTGTCTTTTTTTCAGCCAGACTAACTATGCAACTATGTAACTATGTATGCTCCCATGGCGTCTGTCAGGAGAACAGAAACTTTTCTATTAAATACTTACCGTAATTTTCCTTTCTTGATGGACTCCATGGTAGCATGAGCCCCCTCCCAGTGTCATGAGTAGGCTAGTTACAGAACCTGGCCTCTGGCTCAACCTCAAAATTTATGGGAGTGGGGTTCTAAGAGATAGGAGCAAGGGCGGAGCTACCCAAATGTATGCTGCCATGAAGTCCATCAGGAAAGGAAAATTATGGTAAATATTTGATAGATCATTTTCAGTTTTTTCTGACCTTGCTTCCATATCCTGTTTTCTAATCCATGACTTTTGCTTTCCTATGATTTCTGCCTTCACATTTACTTTGGACCTGTGCCTTTTTTGGGGGGAAATTCCAAATCCATAATACTGGGAAATAAATAGGTGCAATTTAGGTGCTGTAGCAAATAGATAAAAGGCACAATTATCCACTCTTAGAAGGAATACAACACACCTTCTCAAAGATTAGGCAGATTTATGGATATAATTTATTTATAAAAGATTCACAATTGTCAGAGAAACACGTTTGGCTGCCTCTTCTATCTATCTTCCACCTTTTAAAAAAACATCAGCTCAATGTTTGCTTTGCCATATTTCCCAGTGTATTTTTAGTCAAGTGCTACCCTTTCCTCATTTTAACTCCTGCCAGAATCAACTGTTATTCTGTTTCTTGTTTCTTCACTCAGGGTCTGCAATCATCTCCCGCTCTGCTTAGGCTCCCAAAAGTTTAGGATCAGCTTACATTTTGCCTCCTCTCAATCAGTTCAAGTGAGATGGCACAATTGACACGTCTGATTGGTTTGTAAAGGGGATCACAGTGTTATTAATATCTTGGAAGCAAAAAAAACATACAACCTAAATACATCTGCACCTATTTGATTCAGCAAAATAAAAAATCAGGAGTGTCCAACCGATAGTTCTGACCAGGATTCCATGGAACCCTATTGTTCCTCCAGATGTTGCTAGGGGTTCCTTGAGCTGACCTCCAATTTGAGGGTGTTTGCATAGTTCCAAGTCCAATGCCACTTGGCAGAGCCAGCTGCATGACACCAATGATCTTTTTAGCAGCTAGAAGCATGGCATTCTGACAACCACTGTAAGGGGGGCACATCACTTTCAATAGCCACCAATATAAGGAGTGTTTTTCCCAGTGACCACCAATGTAGGGGACATTCTTCCCACTGGCTACCAATATGTAAATTTTAGAAGGGATTCCTTGAGACCTGAAGTTTATTTCAAGGGTTCCTCTGAGATAAAATAAAAGCTGTTCCAAAGGCTTTGTGCATTGTCTAAGCTTTCACTTACTTCTTTGTCAATCAACACAGATGTTTATGCATGGCATGCAGTTTTTTGCCTGCAGCTGTGTAGAAACTATTGAAGTGGATCTCCTTTAGGTATGTAGTGACATGGATAGGAGGAAACATGTTTTTTTTTCTAAAGAAAAAGGCTACAACATTATTTCTACTAACATTATAGCTACAAGCCACATGCCTGCAAAGCAACATTAATCTCTGTTAACATCTAAAAAAAGGGTTAAAATATCTGCCTATTTAAGAGTCTCCAGCTGCTAAATACATTATGGCTGAATTTCACTTGGTATATTATTTTATGGTTTAAAGACAATGTTTTGTTCTCAACTAATTTTCAAATCAAAAAAAACAATTGTTCGCTTGTAGTAAGGGAGATGAGCACACAAAGCCTAAATAGCTGAATCTTTAAACTGCACTTCTGTTTTTTCTTTTTTGTGGGTTTTCTATACAGATTTATGGTTCACATATGTGTGATATACAATATATGCTGGAGGGATTGATGTTTATTGGAAAAATGTGGATTGAATTAAGAATGAATTATTAGTTTGTTTAGGAGCATTCATTGCACAGAGTTTTAAATATTGATAGGTATTATGCTGTGCACTATGCTATTTATTATTTATCACATCTCAGTTGTAGAGTTAGCACAGTGCCTCAGTACGTAGTTAAGGTTTTCGAGTAATTTTGTATATATACTGCCACTTATACCAATCAATGCCTCCCCCCTTTGTACTGTAGCTGTTATACTCTATTCATCCCACTCACGTCTGTCACTTTTATTGGGTGATCAGATGTCTGCAGAACAAACAGCCTAGATTTATCAGTGACAAGTTCTATGCAAACATTCACTCTAAGCATTTCCATTAAACTTACCTCCTCCTGATCTGGGGACACCTGTAATATTTTGTATTATGTATCATTTTCTACCTTGGTGGCAATAGTGTTTTGAACAAATAGAAAGGATGGATCCATCTAGCAGGGGCACAGACACCAATTAAAACTTAAATGGAAATTGATTCGCCACATCACTACTAAGAAGTCCAAATACAACTTTGTTCCAGTAAAAGTCAGGGGGACAATCCAAAAAGTAGCCAACATGATTCGGGGTTCAAGAGCACCCTCTTCATTAGGGTTTTTTCCAGTGTGACTTTAAACACAGGCCTTGTCAGCAGCTTGTTTGGAAGCTGCCAAACCAGCTATTGACAAACCTGTGCTTGCAATTACATTGGAAAAACTCTGATGAAAGGGGTGCTCTTGGACCCGCTAAATGCATTGGTTACTTTTTGGATTGTCTGATTTTAATGTAATAGAGATGTATCTGGAACTCTTAGCACTGATGTGGGACTTCCATTTTAATTTCTGTTACATCATACAGCAAGCCAAGGCGACTGTGGAGCTTCACTGGTTCCCTGTCTGGGAACCAAATCATTTACATCAACATCAATACTTTAGGATAGCGGTATCAGTGAGATAACCCTATGGGTCCAGTGCAATTTTCCTCAGAATTAAAACTTGACAGGGGTTCTAACTCTGAAGTACTTTATCAAAACTAAAAGTTCTGGTTATTTACACCCATTATCTATGCATATGAGAAACAAAAACTATTAAAAAGATATAATTTTGTGGTTAAATATCTCACCTGTGTATGTGCTGTGCATGCAAATCGTCTATAGTATCCATAGTCACATGAAGTATCCTCTAGACAAAAGCTTGCTTTGTGGCCTTCAGCCACTCTTCTCTGTGAGCTTGCATCAAGCAAATCATAATGACTGAACTCATCCATACTGTGATAATGCCTGTTGACAATGACATAAGAATCATTCTTAGATATTTCTGAGGAGCACCGTTTCTATGGAACACTATTTAATAACTAATTGATCATCAGCTAGATCAGGTTAGATGAATTACTTGACCTATTACCTGATCAGATATTAATCAGGCAGCATGGAAAATAGGATAACATGATTTTAGGCAGATTAAAGTCTGCATAAGGTATGTAAAGAAGCATTTGAACCAGTATTATTGAATGCCATTTAGAAAGCCTTGAAGCGGTAGTAAACTTGAGGGGGAAAAAAATTCCCCCTGCAAGGCAATGTTATAATGTACTAGCATGCATCACATACTAGCACATTATGAAAGACTTACCTTTAAATGAAGCCCTCTAGGAGAGCGCTGTCACCGGTGAAGAGGCTTCATCTTGATTCGGTCTTCCTTTCTGTTCCATGGGCTGCGGCCAGTTGACTGGCTGAGCCGCGATGACGTCACTCGTGTGTGAGTCTGGGAGTCTCGGCCGCAGCACACAGCTCTGAAGGAATGCCATGGGCATGCTGTTCCTTCAGAGCGCATGCGCCAGTGACTTCACCGGCTGCCACTCACTAGAATATCTCCTAAGCAGTGCACATTTAGGAGATATTCATTTTACCTACAGGTAAACATTATTATAAGTTTACCTGTACGTAAAACTAAATAAAAAGTTTACTACCACTATAAAAACTCTTAAAAAAAAAAAAAAAAAAAAAAGCCCTGCAAGTTAATGTCATAATGTACTAATTAGCATACTTTACTAGCACATTATGGAAGACTTTACCGTAAAACAAAGCCCTCCAGCGTTGCACTGTCACCACTGCCAGGGCTTCCATCTTCACCTAGTCTTCCTTCCGGAAGCATGAAAAGTGGGATAACATGTTTTTAGGCCGATTAAAGTCTGTGCAAGGTATGGCAAAAAAGCCTTTGAACCAGCATTATTGTATGCCATTTAGAACGCCTTAAAGGGGTGATAAACTAAAACAAAACAAAAAAAACCCTGCAAGTTAATGTCATAATGTGCTAGTATGCATTGCACACTAGTACATTATAAAAGGCTTACCCTAAAACCAAGCCCCCATACCTTCCATCCTTACTTGGTCTTCCTTATGAGTTCACAGGCTCTGGCCATTTGAATGACCGAGCCACAGTGACATCACTCCTGCACATACACGCAGGAGTATGCTCGTGGCACAGCACTCTCAATGGACCACACAGTTGGAAATGCTGTCTATTCAGCTGCAAAACACGTGAATACCTTCTAAGTGGTGCATGTTTAGGAGATGTACATTTTACTAACAGGTAAGCATTAGAAAGCATCACAAAGTTGTTTACTACCTCTTTAAGTGATACTGCAGCTTGGCAAATAAGGACCTATATGTGGTATAAAAAAGACTCCCACAGCTGATCACTTGTTTGCAAGGAATTCAGTATTGGAGAGTCAGAATAGAAAATCTTTCCTCTGTTTTCATCTCCTTGATTCAGAACTTCCCTTCAGCACAGAGCTGGTGTTACATAGTAAGAATTAAAAAAGTATTAAATTTTTGCTATAAAACCCCCCAGACAACCCTTTTCAGGCCTCTGAACTAATCTCACTTAAAAACCCTACGTATACGTACCCCTCCCTGATAGTGATGACTTTCCACTGTGTTTACATTCTTGGTGTAGCAATTTTCCATTGAACTGGCTGCACATACAAAATAATTCCCCATAAACTTTTTTTTTTTTATTCCAAAAATAATTTTATTGGAAAAGTTAAGGCAGATCAATGTACATACAAATATGGCTTACAGTCCGAACATAGACACAATATGTAGCATCCCGTTTCGCAGACGGGCTATGGGTTTGAATTGTAGTACAAATCGAGGTGAAGTATATGTTTATATCAAAGGTGTATAGCAAACCAGCAGATACAAAGAGTGTAATCGATAAATCGTTATAGGTATATTAATTACTGACCTATCTACTTGTACGCCCTTATGTTGAGGGAATGTAAAGTGCTGGGGAAGAATAGCACATGATGATGTGTGTGTTATGATTTGTGTACCCATTTCGGGAGCTTGTGATCCACATGAAATTAGTCACACCTGTATGAGAGATTAAATGCTATATTTTGTTTGGGATATATGAGTGATAAAAGCGTACAAAGATGTGAGATAAAAAGAAGTCAGAGAGGTGAATATATAGAAGAGATGTAGAGTGAGGTAGAAGGGGGGAATATGAGGTAAAAAAAAGGGGGGGGGGGAATGGGTAAGGAGTAGAGGGGGTTAGAATGGGTAGCTGCAGATAAAATAAATCACATCGTTTTATACGAGCCAGAAAGATAGCTGTATAGCTTAGGATTTAATATGTGCAAGATCATTTAATGGGGCAATATGTGGGTCAAAAACCTGAAAGGTAGGTTATGATGTTGAGTCTCAATCCATCTAAATGTGCATTAATGCATCACTGGTGGATAGGGTGTCTTTTGAGATAACAGTGTGTCCAATTATTTAATCAGGGGGTGTAGGCTGTTCATGCAATAATATGTGATAGGTACTGATGGTTTTGAAATGACTCCAACAAGCCCATGTCTTCCTGAATCTCTCGGGATGGTCTTTTGCTACAGAAATCAATTCCTCCATTTCCTCAATTTTGTTGATCTTAGCAAACCATTCTTGAATAGTGGGAACATGTGTTGAGCGCCAGTGGACTGGGATACATTGTTTTGCCGCGTTTACCATGTGTATGGCGAGTGATTTATGGTAAGTCCTAAATGGAAGTGTGAATGGTGGAGCAAGAATTGTGCGGGGGAGAGGTCTAGGGAGTACGTCGTTACTTGTGTGATTATGGTTTGGATTTTCTCCCAGAAAGGCTGCAGCAATGGGCAGTCCCACCAGATATGCAAGAGTGTACCCGTTGCCTGGTGTGACATCTCCAACACGAATCTGAGATGTTAGGGTCAAATTTGTGAAGCAGGGACGGAACTCTGTACCATCTAGAGTATAGTTTAAAATTGTTTTCTTGTGTGGAGACACATATGGACCCTTTGTGTATATTTTCGTAAATGTGATCCCAGTCTTCTGGCGATAGTTGGAGTTGTAAGTCAGAGCTCCAGGCCTTGCAAGCTTTCCTAGATGGTCAATGGTGATTTCGAGGCATGTGTAGAGCTTAGATACGACATGTCTCTGGGGAGAGTCTGTTGAGCAATGTTTTTCAAATGGGGTGAGTGGTCTAGTATACTCTTTGAGCTGTGATGAGCTATGTATAAAGTGGTGGAGCTGTCTGTACATCCACGGCGTGAGGGTTAGGGATGGCCATTTGTTCAAAAGGTGGTCTCTGTACTCAGAATTTCCCATCTTTGAAGAGTTGATGCAGAGTCAAATTGTCTGGGGGGTTAGACCCAGGCACGAGACATACCTGGGGGGAAGTCTGGGTTCATTTTGAAAGGTCCCCATAAACTTGACTAGAACCATACTGCTAGTATATGTGGAGGATATTTCTGCATAGAGGATCCTGGATCCTGTAGTGACATGTGGGTCGACGGAAGGAGCAAATAATTTTAGTTTTAGTATAAATTTCAATAATTTTAAATATATACAGTAAGCACACCACATAACAAAAAAGTAATAAAGTTGAATTAGGCATATTTATACAATAGGTACAAAAACGTCATATCTCATCACGAATAATACAACATAGGTATTTGTTTCACTGCTAATTCCCACCAACAAGAAATGCATGCATGTTTATAGGTACAGTGAGCACTACCAAGTCATATAGCAGCTGATGTTCAGAAATGCATACAGGAATTCAGTACCCAGTATAGAATATTGAGAAGCATAGCTGAGCTAGACCCTTTTGAAAAGTGGGAGGAGGAGGGAAAACACAATCTTTGGGGGTAAAAGGACCCCCTTTCTCAAGAACAACCTGTCTCAGCTATCCTTTTCATTAATCTATTCTGGGTACTGAATTTGTGGTATGTGGGGTACTTACTCTATATATTTAAAATGATTGTACTATCAGACTGAAACACTGTGGAGTGGTTTAAGCACCCTAAAAAATTATCTATTGTTGGGTACTAAATGGTATAGATAATAGTGGTGTGGAGCCCCAGTTTCATACTGTCATAGTTTGAAGAAAAAAATGTTTGTACTCCTGCGCTGGACGATGGACTCCACAGTGACAGTAACCATACATAGATAGCCTATGTAATGCATGCCTTGCTGCCCTCAACAGACCAGGGGAATCCAAATGAACTGCATACAAAAAGACAAAGAGAAGGCGCACAGGCCTACTGCATTACCTTTAAAAATTGGTTTATTGTATAAAATGTGATATACTCACAAAAGAATGAAAGTGAAAGGCACATCATAAGAGATAGAGCAAGGTCCAATCTCCCTGGAAGGTGTTTGGTCGGGGACTATAGACCTCCAAATCAGTGTGAACCAAATCTTATTGCTAATTACATGTGTTTTCAGAATATATTTCAACCAGGGATTTCTCTGCATCAGAATGGTATTGGGGGGGAAGCAGGAAATGTAAATTTTCACTTTGTTTAAGGTAAATGTTGAACTTTTGTAAGCGAGCTTTGCTTTAATAAATATTCAGTTTGGTAAGTGTTTAGATGCTAAAGGCCTGTTGTGAGCAACATTAGGGCTAAATGAATGCAAAATGGGGCCCTGAACTACTAGTTATATATAATCCATAAAACAAATGTAGGTATTATTTTCATTAGCCATTAATCAGTCAATAGCCATGAAGTAACTTCACTGCTACTGTGCTGGAAAATATAAAGAGCAGCAAACTAAAATACAGACAAGACAAGGGTGAATGTGGAAAGCAAATGCAACCTGTCATTATTTTACTGGAAACGATTCACTTAACTGAAAATATAGATGTGCATCATCAAATATTTGAACATAGCAAAGACATGATCTCAAAAGGGGAAAAAGAAATGTACAGCCACCAGCTTTTCACTTTGCTGAATAAAACCAGATGTTTCGGACGGAGATCAGCATTTTCATAATTTCCTGTTCTAAAACTGTTGTGATAGCAAGATGAAATACAGAATTTCTTTAAAGTTGAGTGACAAAGGTTTTGACAAAAGTAAACCCTTAAGGCACAGCAAAATTGGATGGAAATTCTTCTTAAAACAGCAACAAATTCCAATCAGGTTTGGTATTGGTATACGAATATTGATTTACAGTACTGAATTACATGACTTAGGAAAGAACTCTACTAAATGCTATGATGGCTATCTAGGAAGGATATGTGTACTCCATTAGTAAAATAAATATTTCACTTATAAAGAGAATATTTGAAAATGAAAGGTAGAAAGAATGTTTGTTTTGTTTCACAAAATGGAATGTTGGTGGAGTGAAAAATGAATTGATGCTCTATTAACTACTGGAGCTGAATGAGCTGAAAAAATAAGATTTCAGAGAATATGTATTTTGTGAAAAGAAATAAAAGTTATGTTTTATTCAGTAGTGTATTGGTAAAGCGTGTCTTTACCAGGTACACAAAATAACTCTGAAGGAATCACAGAAGCCTTTCTTGCAAATAAAGGTATTTACAGATATCTTGTGGTGTCATCTGATTTACTTTTAAAGTAATATCCCATACACACCATCAGCCCAGCGGGCTGAATGAAAAAAAACTGACTAATTGCTGTACTAGCAAAAGCAGTGTTAGTACAGCGACTCCCCAGCTGTGCTATTGTGTTCTGACAGGGGGCCTGCACCCCCCAGAAAACACTGGTCAGCCAACGGCTGAGAGTGCTAATCGGAAGCCTATCGGCAGACCTTTTTCGGTCATGCCCCTTTGACAGAAGCCAGACTTGCTGCAGTACACATGGGTTGAATGTCGGCTGGTTTCTGTTGAACCAGCCAATACCTCCTGATATTCAGCCTGTGTGTGTGGCTTAACAAAAGCAGTGTTAGTACAACGATCTGTACCACCCACCCCCCACCAGAGCACAGCGACCAGCACAAGCTGGTGTGCTGGTCAGAAGCCGATCGGCAGACTTTTTACAGTCATGCCCTTTGGCAGAAGTCGGACCAACTGCCATACACACTGGCCGAATGTTGGTTTCTGTTGAATCAGCCAATACCACCCGATATTTGCCCCTTTGTACGGGGCTTAAGCCTGTAGTCTATTGTAAACTTATAGAGCTACGGGTCTTCTTCAGTGTTTTCTTTCCCTATTATACACACTAAATTCCATTGTCTAGTCAAATGCACTGCTCAATCTCTGAGAGCAAAGAGAGGAAACCTTTTTATAAATCTTGACTTTGGTGTTTAAAGCTATGTGCTTCTGCTATGTCCACCACTTTCACTTTTCACATTTTTATTTTTTACTGGCCCAACCCTGGTGTAGAATATTGTATCAATGTGCAAATTTTATAGGATGACGGTACTTCTACAAAAAAAAAAAAGACATACTACCAATAAGTCGTTATGAAAAAGGTCTTCACCTTTGCTGGCTATAGGCTCTTGCCTACTGTTTATGTATTACAGGTACTTATATAGAGCAGTCAATTTATGCAACTATGTATATATATATATATATATATATATATATATATATATATAATATATATATATATATATATATATTATATATTACATTCACATCAGTCCCTAACATGCAAGTAGCATACAATCTAAGGTTCATAACTCGCATTCATACACATACTAGGACCAATTTAGACATGGTCCAATTAACCTGCGTGCATGTCTTTGGAGGGCGGGAGGAAACCGGAGTACCTGGAGGAAACTCACACAGGCACAAGGAGAAAATGCAAACTCCAGGCAGTTGGTGCCGTGGTTGGGACTAGAACCAATGACCTTAGTACTGCCAGGCAGAAGTGCTAACATTAGGTTGAGTTACACTCTAAGCCCAATTGAGTCTTGCCTAAACTCATTTAACCTTCAGAGGGCACACAGAACTATGTGACATTAGACCAGGGGTCTCCAAACCTTTGACACAAAGGGCCAGTTTACTGCCCTTCAAACTTTAGGGGGGCCAGATTGTGGCCAGTGGGAGTAGAAAATGCCCTGGCATCAGTGGGAGTAAACAATACCCTAGGCTTGGTGTTCAGTGGGAGGAACAGTGCCCCATCGTTGGTGTCAGTGGGATAATTAGTTCCCTATTTCTGGTGTCAGTGGGAGGAACAGTTCCCCGTCGCTGGGGTCAGTGGGAGGAACAGTGCCCCGTCTCTAAGGTCAGTGGGAGGAACCGTGCCCTGTCGTTGGGATCAGTGGGAGGAACAGTGCTCCATTGTTGGGATCAGTGGGGAGGAACAGTGCCCCGTCTTTGGGGTTAATGGGAGGAACAGTGCCCCATCGTTGGGGTCAGTGGGCGGAACAGTGCCCCATATCAGTGGAAGGAAAAGTGCCCTAAGGGCCAGATAAAAGCAAGCAAAGGGCCACATCCGGTCCGCCGGCCACAGTTTGGAGACCCCTGCATTAGACTGTAGTCTCATATCAAAACGCAGAAGTCCAATAAACATTTTCAAGGTTTCTTGAATAATATTGTTAGTAGCTCATTATCTTTTTAATTTATTCCTTGTTTGTTAATGTTTTTTTTTTTTTCTAAAATAAGCTAGGACTTACTGATGGCAGCTGTGCCACTCCCAGGAATAGCGAGGTCGACTTGGAAGGAAGTCAGCTGTACCTTGATTCTTCACTCTCTGGGGAAAGCGCAGAAGCACTCTCTGGTCATAATCTCTGACATCAGAACGGTAAGCTGAACTATGGAGACAAAAACACCATTAGTACACCATAGGAAATTCCATTAAAATTCAGTCAGTTTTCTAAATATGAACAGAAATTTACAGTGAATAGACTGTAATTACTGGAATATTTAGAAGTGCTCAATATATCCTTAAACATGACAAACATTCACAACTAAAGACTTGTTCCTTCATAATTGAAAAATACATGACTCAGTGTGATTCATACACCGAAAAGGACAAGAAAACACCTCTAAAAAAGAGACTATGAAAAATTATTAATATCTGTAGGTGATGACACAGAATAAGTTTCAGTTGTTCCAAATTGGTAAGCCAACCAACAGATATTGGGAAAACCGCACATCTCCTCCCAAAATGAATGTTTGGCACCATGCACAAAACAGTAAAGGAAAGTATATAAAATTTACACCAGACTGGCTTTTGGCAAACATGGTGTTGCAATTTTCACTTTGCAAGGAAATGTTCCCTAGAGATTAGTGCAGGGGTGGGCAAACTTTTTGACTTGAGGGCCGCAATGGGTTCATATATTTGACCCAGGGGCTGGACCAAGAGTAGATGAATGATGTGTATGTGTCATCCATAGTAAGTATAGTAATATTCCCCCATAGTAAGCATAGTAATTAATCCCCCATATAGTAATTCATCCCCCATAGTAATTCATCCCCCATAGTAATTCATCCCCCATAGTAGTAATTCCCCCCATATAGTAATCAATCCCCCATATAGTAATTCATCCCCCATATAGTAATTCATCCCCCATATAGTAATTCATCCCCCATATAGTAATTCATCCCCCATAGTAATTCATCCCCCATATAGTAATTCATCCCCCATAGTAATTCATCCCCCATAGTAATTCATCCTCCCTATAGTAATTCATCCCCCCTATAGTAATTCATCCCCCATATAGTAATTCATCCCCCATATAGTAATTCATCCCCCATATAGTAATTCATCCCCCATAGTATATCATCCCCCCATATAGTATTCATCCCCCCATAGTAATTCATCCCCCATATAGTAATTCATCCCCCATATAGTAATTCATCCCCCATAGTAATTCATCCCCCATATAGTAATTCATCCCCCATAGTAATTCATCCCCCATAGTAATTCATCCCCCATAGTAATTCATCCCCCATAGTAATTCATCCCCCATAGTAATTCATCCCCCATATTAAGTCCCCAAGTCCCCCCTGTGTCAATTCACTTACCTTTGCTCCGCGCATTCCTCTCGCCGTGTTTCCTCGCCGTTCCGGTGTAGCATGAAAATCTGTCTCCTATGAGGATCTGTCCCCCTCGACGTATCTGCGCATGTGCCAGTTTCAGGCATTAGCAGCCGATCGGCGATCTCCGGCACATGCGCAGATACGTCGAGGGGGGACAGATCCTCATAGGAGACAGATTTTCATGCTACACTGGTCTTCAGGGCGGACTGTGAGAGGAGCCTAGCGGGAGCCTAGCTCCGCGGGCCGCATTAAAAGGTCCGCCGGGCCGTATACGGCCCGCGGGCCGTAGTTTGCCCATTGCTGGCTTAGCGAATAAGGTGAAGCTGTGCTGACTTCCATCATCCGATCATGTGCAAAATAAAAAAATGTTTTTTTTAATTTCTCTTGCAAATGATTAGGTATTTTTTGCAAAGTTAATTTTCACCACATTCACTGGAAAATTCTCTTGCAAAGTGAAAATTGCTTTGTGAAGTGAACAGTCTACCCAGTCAACCCAACAACTAAACCCTTTTTCTTTTAGTTTATAATACAGTGACAAAGAATTTTGTGAGATGTTTATTGCTTTATATTTCCTCACTTGGCAGATTTCTCCTCATATTCTTTCTATTTGATAATAGTCAGACAGAAATGGAAATGGGAGAAATCTCCCCAATGGGCACACTGACGGAAAAACTAAATTTGGTTTAAACCACCTTGCTTTTTATTACTATCTGTTTCTCCATTGGGGAGGTTTTCCCTCACTTCCTGTTCAAGTAATGGGCACCAGACAAAACAGGAAGTGAGATATTACTTCAGTATCAAGGAGGACACAAGCAACAAGTGAAACCCAAGAGGCCCTACCCCTTCCCTATTCTATTAAACAAAAAAAACAAAAAAACATTTTGCTATAGCTGGGCTTAAAGTGACCCTGTCACCACAGTGTCAAATGTAAACAAAGCCCATGTTGTAGAAGCTTGTATATTGACTTTTCTGAGGCCCATGTCTTCAAATTTCACTTTTCTGCTGCTCTCCTGACAGCTGCAGGTATTTGACACTTCCAAATGTGCTTCCCGGCTGAACATTGTGGTTTCTCCTATCAGGAGCAACCACAGCATATGGCGGGAAGAGCAGATATTTATGTACCTGGAAATGTTGCATACCTGCAGCAGCCAGGAATACGCAAAGTGGTGGAGTCTGAAGACATTGGCTGCTGGAAAGGTGAATATGCATGCGCTTCTTTTGCAGATTGAGCGTCCTTGGATAGGTTTGTTATCAGATACAACAGCCCCTCTAGAACCTTACAGAATTGCCTTACAGAGTTCTTGCCTACATCTTACCCAGTTTCGTATTTGAAACACCATAACACCAACAATCCAAAGCATGGGTGAGCACTTATTAACCATATTTGTTGTTACAAGTGTGGTTTTGAGTGGAGTAAAAAAAGACTAAGACAAGATAATTTGTGCAGCCCTTTTATTCTACACTATTACTAAACACCGACTTACTGCTTTACCGTTACCATTATAGCTGAATTCCTAGTATGAATATTTTTGCATAGTTACATTGGTCCAGCTTGAAACAACGTAACTATACATGTTCCATACCTGGTTGATCCCTTTTGAAGCTGCAGATTGCTGTAATGGGCAGCGCAAGTATGGTGATTGACGCTGGCTTTTGAGTCCTATGCCATGCAGCTGCCCTGCTGTCTAATAAACACATGAGGCTGCTTAATTGGCACAGGCACCATTCAGAGAACACTTAGCACACTTAGCATTTTCTCAATGAATGCAAAGCATCCTGTGACTGGACAAGGTGGAGACATGGGACAGTGATGCCATAATCTCCACCTCACCCAATCAGACAATGATTTGCATTCACTAAGAATATGCAAAGTGTTCTCTGAATGGTGCCTTTGCTCAGTAAGTGACCTCCTATATATTTACTAAGCAGTAAGGCTGCCACTTGGCATGAGAACAGGAAGCCAGAAGCTATCACTGTGCTAGTGGTGCCTGCTACGATGATTTCCAGCTTGCACGAGGATCTGCCAGTTATGACACATACGTACAGTACTTACATTGGTTCAGGCTGAACCAATGTAACTATGCAAATCTACCTGGAATTCAGCCTTAAGATGTAGCATTAATGTAATTAGTGAATTAACTTAATAATATAAATGTGTTATGCTGGCAGATGAAAATAACACAGCGGCAGAGGACAATTAAAATGATTTTGTTTAGCTTTTGCTCAGCTGCACTGGGGTTCCCAGTTCAAATCCTGGTCAGGACATTAACTGCATGGAATTTCCATGTAATACCTAGGCATTTGTGGGTTTCCCTCTGACATTCCTGTTTTTTTCCCATGCTCTAAAGACATGCTGGTTGGTTAATTGGCACCTGTCTACATTGGCCCTAGTATGTGTGTGCGTGTATGGGTTGCATGTGAGATAGGGACCTTAGATTGTAAGCTCTTGAAAAATGGATATGGATGTATACTATGTAAAGTGCTGTGTAAAGTGTTGGTGATATATAAATACCTTTAATAAATAACTAACTAAGAATGTATCATTCAGCTAATATAGCTGTCACCATTAACAAGAGAAGACTATACTGTATATAGCCATAGTAGCCCACGTCTCTCTTTTGTTGCCCACGTCCTGTCTTCTGAACAGATTTGCATGTCTACTTCATGTATCAGAGAAGTCACTGATTATACATGTCTATACATAGAATTACAGTTAGGTCTGGGCTGATATATCAGCTGCACATTCCTGCTACAGGAGTTGTTGCCAAAGTAAACAGAGTTATGTAATTATTCTTCAGACATACTGGAGTCGAGTAACTAGAATTTCTGAATGAACTAAATGTGGTCCAGCTCACCTCTTCTGCTATGTAGCTCTGCATTGTATGATGATCTTAGACTTTAACCCAGAAAAAGTTAAATAACATGTAGATTCATCTTTCAAGGAACAGCAGACTCATAAAGCACACAGCCCGTCTAAAATTCCAGTTTTGTTGGGTCTATAGGGAGCTGTATTATAACAATGATGGTTTTGGTTTTTTTTTTTAGAAAGAAACTGGTGGTGAACCAGAGCTTATCACATCATGGCTGGTCTCAGTTTAGTTTACACATCTTATACTCATTTGTCACGGTTTCCCAGAAATGTAGGACTTTTTCTCACGGGGGCTCACAGAATATAATGGTTAAATATTTCCTTTACTACAATTAGCATGATATTTAGGTCTAATACTTAAACATTCTTTTAGATTGACATGCCTTCCAACATTGTAAGAGGGCAAGAAGCACATTGTTTAGAATTAGAATTGTAGAACTAAATCCTTGCTTTCCCCAAATTCATGTCATCCTTTGCTAGACTTTACTTTCACCGTTTATACAGGCAAGAAAAACCACTAAGAAAGACCTGGCCATTATCAAATTTACAAAGCAGCTAGAATATATCATCCCCCTGATAACCAATACAAGCAAGGCCCTCTGATTCCTACAGTATTGAATTGTATTGTAAATGTACTGTCTGTCTTTATGTTGTAAAGCACTGCGTAAACTGTTGGCGCTAAATAAATTATTTTTAACCGCCTCCCGCCCGCCATATAAGGTAATGACGGGCGCAAGGTGGTTCTCTCGTTCTGGGAGGACATCATATGACATCCTCCCATTCTCAGCGCGCATGCGCGGCTCTGGGAGAGCGCAGCGTGGCGATCGGTGGTTTGCTGTGTCCCTCGGACACAGCGGATCACCGATCAACGGAAAGAGCCGAAGATCTTGGCTCGATCAT